CAAGAGCAGCAGACGCCAAAGGTTGAGCCAACAGGTGATCTAGCCAAGTCAGCACTGCCCCCCTTTCCAGCCATCCTTCTAAACCATGTCCTGGTAACAGGGGGACAGAAGTGTCCATCCCACTTGCCATCCCACTCTGTATGGTAAACAAAGCAATCCACATGCCCCTCCTGCCCATGGGATTGTGTCCCATGGCACTCTTGGGGGTGTACTGCTCCCCTACCTCCATGTCCAGACAGGGCTCTGGCCAGGACCAGCCCTCTGTTCCCACAGAGCTACTCGTGGTTTCCCAGGGATCCAGCTGTTTGTCTCTTTGACCCTGGTACTGCCTGGAAGGAGAAGGGCACATTACGGAGGGGAAAAGAGAGTAGTACGATGCAGCCCCTTTCCCCTTTGCCCCTTGTCCACCACCCCTCTCTGGCCAGGCGAGTCTCCCACTTGGCACCACAGCAGGAATCTCTGGGAAGAAAGAGGCTGAAACCTCTAGGGCCTCTAGATTTCTGGGCAAATGGAGTCAGGGATGGGAGGATTGCTAGAAGAAACCCCCAGAGAATGGCTGTCACCTTCAGGAAGGAGCTCGCATGGGCCTGTCAGCCTGCTCTAAAACTGGATGAAGGGCAGCCTCCTTTGGGGCATGGGAGACCCCCATTTTCCCAAAGGAGCTGATCTCTGCTGGGCTCTGCAGAGCCAGGCTAGCAAGGGCCTGTACAGCCTCCCATGCTACTGTTAGGAGAGCTCCCAGGGAGTTGAACACCAGGGTTTCAGTGTCACTTTGGCCACTTGCCAAAGTTCTGTGAGCTTCTCTCTCTGAGCTTCAGATTCTGCCTCCGTGAAATGGGTAACATCATTTCAAGGGCTCAAAGAAGTTTATTTTATTCCCAAATATCTCCCTTCTCTACCTATTATTCATTTCAAAAGTCCAATCTCTCCTTGGCAGCTTTTGGTTAAGCATTGTCCTAATCACATACCCTTGAAAGGTAGCTGGGGATGCATTTGTCTGATGTCACAGTGCCCTCTAGACCCTTTCCACAGGGCTGTCACTGCCCCCTTGCCTGCTGCCCCTGTACTATGTGCAGATAATTTCAATCAATTGGAGCAGAGTCCATGCAAAGATGTTAACACAAACATTCCATTGCTAATGGGAGACTGAACTGTCATTGGCCCAAGCAGGGATGCTGATACTCAGCCATGCCATCCTGTCTCATCCGACACCGGTTTGCTGAGTCCTTATGATGTGCCAGGCACTTTAACAGGCTGGGAGGCAGGCAGTGGGCAGAGAGGGGGATTAGCCATGCCACTTCCCCTAGAGTCCCCACAGGCCAGCAGCATCCTCACCGATATGACCTTCAGGTTTCACTCCAAAAAATCCTCAAGGAGAGGACTTGCACCTGGGAGCCAGGCAAGAGGGCAGAGAGGGTTCATCCACATCTCCAGGCCTCTTCGAAACCTTAATGAGGTAGCAGTGCCACCAGATGTTTGGTCAGGCAGGCTGACCAGACAGTGAAGTCTTCTCACATTCAAGGGAAAATAGGATTTTGGGTTACCTATCAGGCTCAAAAGCAGGGAGCTGGCAATAAATCAAAAACTGAAAAATGGTGTCAGTGCTTCAAACTAAATTTCCAAGCCCAGGAAACAATTGCCCACTAACATCCATCAGAGGGAAAAAAAATCTACTAACACTTCAGGAGAAATGCTTTGCTATAAGTTAGATTTTTCTGCCAACCAGGATAATTCAATAATTTCCCCTTGACATTCTTGAGCTTGCTGTTTCAGGGGTTATGATGCTTTGAAGTTGGGAGCAGTTTGTTTCCAAGGAAAGATGAAGAGTTGACAGGGAGTGGAGGTGAGAGGACAAGGGGGCTCTCCTAATTAAAGGGGGAGAGGTTCCCCTTTGGGGACCCCGTACCAATGATGGCAGGGAGGGCTGCAATGCAGGGCATTGACCAGGGCATGACCACAATCAGACTGTGACTCTAACAGGAGAATGTGGGGGGTCTGGGAAGGGCCTTGGGATCTTCCAGTATCATCTTACAGTTAGACCAGCCTCAGCCTTACAGCTTCCCTGAAAAACTGTTTAAGACCTTCCTCAACCCTTATGGAACTAGATCTGGTCTCAGGTAACAGGGTGCTTGATGTCACTTCTTAGTCTGGAGTTGGGGGTTGGGGAGAAAGCTGCCTGCCCTCCTAGTCTTCCTTTGTTGGGCAAAATTCAGCACCAGCCAAGGCCCCTTGTCCACATCCTATCTATCCCCTGTAACTTTGGGCCTTGATCCCAGCCCCTATGGACCCTGGTCCCTCTGCACAAGGTCCAACGCAGTCATGATGCCAGACTGTCTCAGGTTGGCCAAAGCTACCCTGGCTGAACGGGGCAGCCAGAAGAGGGAGAGGAAGGGTACCAGTCAAGGGTGGGGATTTTGGAGGTCTGGGCACAATCAGCCTGGCCATTAGACTCCAGGCCAACTGTGGGAGAAGGGGGTAGGGCAAGGGCAAGGGACCTGAACCAAGAGCTGGGCAGGACAGGGCCCCAGAGTCAACCTGCTTGGCTCTGGACCCTGGCTCCTCCACTGGCAAGTCACTTAACCTCTCTAAGCCTTGGTTTTGGCATCTGTAAATGGGGGTAATAACAGTTGCTGCCTTACAGATGGAACTAAATGTGACAATGTATGTGAAGCACCTGGTGCCATGCCTTGCACACAGAAGTGGTACTTAGTGGTATCTTTAGGACACAGGTCTTCTGACCCCAGACCATAGCTCTTCCACACAGGAAACCCATCCCCTGTAGCCTGTACACATGTCTCTTTCTCTCTCCCTCTTCTCCCACCCAAACTTGTCTGTCCTTGGGGACTTGCCTTCTCCAGACAGAACCATGAAGGATGATGTCTACCTGTAGAGCTAGGCTGTCTGCAGGGCACCGTCACGAGATCATGCTTAAAAAGACCTTGCCCACAGTGGTCACTCGTTACTACCAACAACCCTCAGGAAGAGTAGCTGATATTTGAGTTTTCTCATTTTGCAGAGAACCTGGGAGGTGAAGTGACATTGTTCAAGGTCACACATTTGGGGGAAGAGGTTGGTGCTGGAACTAGGGCCCAGGTCAGAACAACTCAACCACAGAGCCGTGTCTCATCTCAAGATTTCCACCATCCTCCCTCTATCCCTCCCCTCCTTCCTTCCCATGAATCAGAGCCTTCCAGAGCCCACATACTGTTACTGAGACAGAGTGGCAAACTGAAGCAGGAACATGTGGGAGCACCCTTCTTCCCAATACTCTCTCAGTCTCTAAGCAGAAGACCACAGGGCCCAGCAGAAAGAGGTCAAAGGGGAAGGAAGTGGGAGAGTCTGGGAAAGTTCCCATTTAAGCAGCTGTCAGAACAAGCCATTCACTTGGACACTGCCTGTCTCACACAACAAAGTTTAGGATTTGAAAGTTCATTTTATCCCATTGTCTTTTTGAATCATTTCTTCCACAAGTGCCCTCCCTCCCCAGATGATAGGAAGCTCACTGCCTCACAGGGCAGCCCCAGGGTGCAGGTTGCTCCTTGCTCCTTGACCCTTCAAGGCTTAGGACTCAGGCTGGCCTTCTGTGGCACTGTCCTGGCCATGACTCCACGTGGGCAGTGGCCAGTCAGTGGCAGTGGGGTGGCATGGACCTGCTGCTTCTCACTTGTCAAGGCCACAGGTTTCAGGGGCTCATCTGTGAGCAAGTCAGGGACTTTCTGGAGACTGCATCTCTCCAGGGGGCAGGGCTGGGTTCTGGGGTAGGCAGTATTCCCCAGGGGAGCCCAGCCCTGCACCCAGGAATTTCCCTCAGAGTGGAAGTCAAGTGGAAACTCAGGGCTGGGAAACTTTGCCACCACCTGAAATCAGGCTTGGAGTTCAGCAGATGCTTAATCAATACCACAGAACTTGCCTCACAATGATAAATATGTATTTTTCTGAGTTAGCCCCCAGGCCAGGGAATGTCCAGTTTCCTGTTTTTGCCTAGGAAGGCAACACTGGGGTAACCACCAGCACTTGGCAGAGTGGGACATTGAGGCTGGGAACGGGCAAGAGGGGTCTCAGGGCTTGGAAGCTACAGTAGCTTCAGTAGCTGTGTGACCTTGAGCAATTCACTTGGCCTCTCTGAGCCTCAGTTTCCTTGTCTCTAAATGGAATAGTGGCACCTGCTTCAGAGGCTTGTTGGGGGTAACAAGCACGATAGGATACCTATGAAGTGCCTAGCACAGACTGAGCGCTCTGAAAGTGCCACCTTTTGTTACTATTTGAAGCAGACGGGGAAACCCGTGGGAAATCCGGGCGCCTCTGGGAAGCTGGAGGTGGCGGGCCGGTCTTTCCGGAGCCGGGGGGGGGGGGGGGGGGGGCAAGGCCCCCCCCCCCCCCCCCCCCCCCCCCCCCCC